CATGAGCAAGAGTGTTGCATGGAATAGCTGGAGAACCTTCTGAACGCATGTACTAGTATTTGGCATAGTACATGGTGACCATGCGAGTGACTAATTTACATGGTGGCTAAGCATTTCCTTTTTAAATGCTGCTTTTCAGTTTATTTTAACTGTACCCGGTGTTGTTCTTTCTGGCTGAATTTTGTCTGAGTCTAAAACTGTACAGGTTCCAAAGAAGTACAGACTTGTTCCCTAGCTTGGCTAGTCACACCACAAACCGTCAAATGAAAGATCAGATGGGGAGAGAGACTATTCGTCTTTGGAGAGCTAAAGAATTTGCACCTTGGCAGTGATACAAGAATTCTTTTTTCTCCCATTAATTTCCATGCAGATGTTATAAATTATAGCCGTTCTTGCCCACCCCTCAGCTTCCATTTCCTCAGCTTTCTCATCCAGAAGAAAAGTGGAATCTAACTATTAAAAAAGTTATTAATTGTTTGTGTTGGGGGGTGGGTTTGGTAAAAATTCTGTTCATGAAAGAATTGCAGGAAGGATCTATACAATATCTAAGAGGAAAGAAACACAACAAAATAACTCCTAAACTAGAGGCTTTCCACATAGGGAAACTCCGCAGAGAGCTCTGATTTTTATATTCAGTATTTGAACAGTTACTAAGATATTTAACAAATGATTTATGCTTCAGTTCAGAATCAGCAGCCTGATAATTCTTTTATATAGCATAATACTTCCTTGTATACATATACCTTTGTAGGTAGCTTTCATCAGCTGAACTAGAAAGATGCACCATTACCGTGTAATCTGTATAATACACTACATTTTTTTGAGCAACTCAGTGAACTTTAGTACTCTCTTGAGAAATTAGTCATAGCTACTTAACTTTGTCTTCATTTGCTTTTAAATACAGTCTATTTTGATAGTTAAGCACTAGACAGCAGATTACTTTATATTCACTGATACTGAAAAATACATGTGCTTGAATGTAAAAATACAATTTAGAAAATGCCTCATTGCCTGGAAGTGCATACAGTTTTCTGTAGGTCAAAAGAGATGGAAGAGATCAGGCATGACAATGTTCCTTAAGTGATTAGAGGTACAAGCTGGTACTTGGAGTACCTAGAGATACTTCCTGATGATATCTTGGTGTTCCTTGCATTAATTTTTGGCTTATATTTAGATCACCTTCTGTAGACCTTGAATTTATTCATTGATTAAGCAGAAACTTCACCACAGCGTACATTTAATGGATATATCTAAAGGGCGCAGATGGCCCAGGAGATGGACTTGCCTCTCCACTGACTGTACAGAGAGATTATAACTCCTGCTGTGTGACTCAGTGTTTCCATATAGTGAACTGAGTGGGAGCTCACTAGAGTTTATGTACATTGTGGTTTTTGGTTTTTTTTCATACAGTGTCTGTCTGTAAAGGAGATGAGCTAGGTTCATGCAACACTGTCTTTGAGGTCACCTGAGTCTTTTTCTGCTGTTGAGTTACCATCGTTAGTTACACCCTTTTCCACAGCTCAGGCTTGTCCTCCCTTGGCAGAAGCCCTAACCATGTTGTATAGTCTATGCAGGTGCCCCTTAATTCCCTTATAGAAGCTCTTGGCTACAGTTTTATCAGTTGATAAAAGAACTGCACAGTTGATCAGAACTCTTGCAGCAAGATGCAGAGTTTCTTACCAGAAGATCCACCATGTCTTCTCTTACTATCCAACATTCATCTCAGGGGAGGGAGGCAGGGGTAGGGAGAAAAAAAAAAAGAGGAAAAGAGAAAGAGCTGCAGAGTCCTAGCCTAGAGAAATGACAAGGTAGAAGACTGGTCTGACTCAGGATTTCATTCCAAGTGCTTCAGTCCAGGTAGGATTCACAGCATGGGGTCTTCTCAGAGCAGGTGCCTGAGCAGGAGGAACTTTTTGTACAATTGCATACTGATTAGAGTACTTGCTTAGAAAGTGGGAAGCTCAGTTAATTTTTTTGGACTGAGGAAAACTTTGAACCTGTTCCTTCTAGGAGAACGCCTATGAGACTTTAGAGCAAACCTGGGATGGAGCTCGTCTCCAGCTCATATGTTGAAACTGGACAGCAGTTCAGAAGAAAACGCAAGATTAGGAGAAGAGAGATACCAGCAAGAAGTATATATGTTGTTTATTTAGTAATGTTCATTACATTTTCCTTTGAACAGTCTATTGACAGTATGTGTTTCACTCAATAACTCTTCAGTGACAAATACAGAAATATTCACTCAAGCCAGACTACATACAGGCAAAAAATCTGTTGGTCTGAGTTAGGAACCAGTTCATCCATTTCTTGGAATTTTTTTTTTAAGTTAATACTTTAGTGACACATTTCTGAATGAACTCCATGCTAGCCAAAAGAATTAACGATGTTTTGAACACAGTTTCTATCTACATATTCACTTATACACTCATGTGTTACATCTACACTAAGTACGGCAATGGCTGAGATATCTGAGTTGTCTTTGAGCAGCGTAATTCAGGTACTGGAAGCCAGCACAGAGCTTCATGTGGGCTGAATTACCCCATTGAGAATCTGAAAAGCCTCGTTAATTAGCTTCCTTGCCTGTCAGTCACTTGTTTCCATCTATTTTCTCACTTCAGCTAGTTCAGTCATAAAACTGTAATCTGTTTTTCTGTGGCTGTGAAGATGATACTCATAATTTACTCCTCCATCTACCTATCACATTATACTTTTTTTATTTTGATTGGTTATATTCCTGAAGTTTTGCTTTAAATAGTCTATAACTTTATGAAGCTGGATAGTACATTTAGTAAGTTTGTGTGCGGCTTTTCAACAATCATCTGTACATAGAGATGATGACAGCACATTGTTGATTTCAGTTCAAATCAGTGTTCATTTTGTTACTAAACCTTCCCACTGCATGTCTGAGAATTTTCTATGCCCAGCAATCTTTATTTTCAGGCATTTGTTCTCATTTCATAATTTCATTTCAAAAAACAGCGGCGACTGCCAGGTGGAACACTCTACCCCTGCACTTGTAATCTCTCACGCAAGATCTTTGTTCACTAATCTGTGTCTGCTAAGAGTACCATGATGTTGCTGACATCAAAGCAGAATCAAGCAGTTGTGATTTACAAAGAGATACAAAAGTATTTTGAGTTCGAATGTTTTTCTGTATACCATCATCTCTTATGTTTTTTTAAATTATTAGCTGTTGTGAAATGTTTATTTAAACTATTTCTTATCCCTCTACTTCATAAAAGAGGTTCTTTGGAGAGAGTGAGAAATGTAGATTTTTCTCCTTGTTTTTACATTTATGTATTTTAGAAAATTATAACTCAAATG